TTTCTTAAGCAATACACAAACTTTGGCTCATGGCTAGATCAAGAGAGAACAAGCTACTTCATAAATATAGGATTGTACTGTAATATACTTTGAAGGTTGCCACACTTTTTGTGATCCAAAAGAACCTATTCAAAATTTGAAACCTAGCACAGAATACAAATCCTTAGGCATACTTAGGGTTTTCCATATTATCGGAGAGTAAAAGACCAGCAACAAGAATATTCATTACAATTGGAATCCAATTTCACAAAGACAATTCAACTTCACCCTGCGCAAAATTCAAGAACTTCCTCATTTTAAACTGAATACTAAAGTGAAACAACTTTATCGTTTCTGATCGTTTTGATATGCTTCTTTAAACGGAATTTCTGAATCTTATTATTAAAATTTTTGTATCGACACAAATAATGTCACTGTTGGTGTTATAAAAGGATGGGCATTGAAGAAATACAACAAAGAACAACAGGTTCACTTTAATGCTCTTATTTTGTAGTCATGATACAAACTGTTACCCTCAAACCTGTAAAAGATTCCACCTGATATTAAAATGATATAAACAAAAGATTGCCACCAGGAGTGGAATGTTCATTGCCTGGGAGGGACCTTTCAACCATACATACCATAACACGGGATTGATTGTATAAAGAATGCAGTCTTCTACTTATAAAAAATGGTAACATACTACAGAATATCAAAAGTGAACTCACTCATTAAAAAATGGTCTTAGTACAGTACTGCACTTAAAATTAAAATATGAAGCATATTTAAGAGAATGCCACCAATTTGAATGACACTAAGTTATTTGTTTAATATATAAACTGCACCTATAAATAAGTAAAATCATTGATTAAAGTGTAAAATATTTACAAGATAACCCTATTTATATCAAAGTCTTGTAAAAACAGAATTACTGTACTGCATGTGGTATACATTCAAACAACGTTTACACAGACAACATACGTCAGGATTAGCACTATAAAAATTGTCCAGAGTATGATTGTAAGAAAACTATTAATTTTTCCACTAATCTTTTCTAAACTAAGAAAGCAGATGAAAAATAATTATTATTATTGGTTTTCAAATACCTCTAGAAAGTTAATCATACAGTATTTGCTTACCTCATTCTTATAATGCATCAAGGCAGATTAGCACTTCAGATGTTTTTCAACTCTGAAATTTTATGGCAGACAAGAGAACCACCAAGTCAGTTTATTAATATAATCTGCTTATCCATATACAATATTAACACATCATTATCATGTTATATTTTCATGTAGCAACCAACATCAGTACGCTACTCTAACCATAAACCCATATGAAACTCCATTCTTTCACAAGCTGTACACAATGTGTTAGAGCATAATAACGTGAAGTAAATCTTTTTATGCTCTGAACAATGATAATTACTATCTGTCTGAGTAAGTACATATTTTCATACCTACTGTACCACTAATTTGGAAACTCACATAATCCCTCCATCCCAGGAAGACAGGGAAACTATTAATTCAATTAACAAAATCTTGAAGTAATGGAAAAAGTGAAATTATCAATTACCTACAGTACACATGTGGAACTAATTAATGAGCTGCGTTACTCTCCTTGCAGAAATCAATAAGCAAACCTGTGGCCCAAATAATGCAAATTTAACAAAAAGGGATAGGACCAATGACTGTGGACTGGTTTAGTTAGTGAAGAGGTAAAACAGCCTAACCTGAAGAAATTTATTTTCGAAAATAGTTTTAATTCATAAGAATAAATTTCTTCAACCTGGCAGACAGTGACAGTAAATATGGCTTTGTACACTTTCCTAATAATTCTATATGAACATCTTGGACACGAGTTCACAGAACTTTGAATTCACTCCAAAGCTAACAATGCTGTAAGCTATAGCTAACCCTGGTAGGTTCACTTAGATAAATAAGAAGTGATGTAATGCATGTACGGTACAGTATATTCCTTGATTAGAGAGATCAGAGCCAAGCCTCGAGACAAAATAGGAACAGTACAAGCCAACTTTAAGTATATAGTAATAGTGATTAATGTTTGGTAAAATTTCGAAGTTGAATGAAAAACAAGGATCAAACTGTATCATAATTGATGAATGAGCATTCAATGATAAAAACAATACCCTGTACTGTATAGATACTGTACAGTAAATGAAGAATATTGGTGAACTGAAGACAATTTTCAGCAATCAAACAACTTCAATAAAACTATCATAAATATATAAAAACACAAGAAAAGGGGAAAAAGGAGATCTAAAAGGAGAAACTCTAAGTCGGGAACAATACTGAAATCAAAGTATCGGAGCTAGGGAAGGGCAGCTCTTCACTGCCAGGTTAATTTGCATAGCATATAAACTTTCGAGGTACAGTACAGTAATGTATATGAAATTTCTCTAGTAATCTTCAAAAAAAGGAAAACGATGAAGAAGTACGGATGGAAGATACCCATTCCTATATCCCCATACTTCAATGAACCAGAAATATATAGAAAAGGTTTTAGGTAAGCTATCTAATGCCAAGAGGCGATGAGAACCCGCAGACTGTACTGCCACAATATGCCAAATTATGAGAAAGCAACATATCAAAGGAACAGTACTGTACTCATAAAGGCACCAATGATTAAACACTATTTAACAAGGCAGTCAATTATGGTAATTGTTTTTCCATCCTTTAAAGCCTCTGTCCACTATAATGCAGGGTATTGAAATTCAAGAACATTCACACTGACTCTCTTCACATGCTGTCTTTCATTCATTCATTCTTCCTGCTGTAACAATGTGTTTTAACACTGGATAAGTAATGATATCAAATCGTTAGTGTGGGTGAAGTGATGATGGAGGAGAGGAAGATAAGTCAGGCTCAGTGATCATGACCTTGGAAAACAAATTGCATTATTGTTTTTAGCCAAAAACCAAGAAAAAAAATCCAATTTAACTTTATCTCCACAACAGATGAAGACACAAATTAGTGAATTTTGTTTTAAGAGTGAGTCAAGGTCATGCAAAAGTTTGGAGTCATCAAAGCCCCTAATGATTTAGGCGATATACAAAATACGACTCCTTGAGCACCTCTTCATTCAAACGACACAAAATCTAACTGTAGTAACACATGGGGACCAGAAGACATGTGTGAATGCCACACAAACTGCTGGTACAGCTAACAATTAGGATTACCACCTCAATGAATTTTAGTGAATGGGTTCATTTTAACCCTTGTCATCAGGTCTGATGATTTTTCTTCATTGTTTGGAAGTTTACCGATACAGTATACTGCCAGTGTCTTCAAGAGATTTTAACAATGGCAAATTTAAAATAAGAGATAAAATTGGAGTACCACAAATAATCAAAATGCAAAGCCTTAAATTGCAAATAACCAAGAATTATCTACAGTACTCTTTACTATGTTCACTTCTCACTGTCCAATATTTCCTTAGCAAACTGACCAATAAAAATATCAAAACTAAACATATGTTTTCTAATAAAAAAGTCATCCCTTTGCCACAAAGTTTAATATTTATCCAAACTATTATAAGACTTGAAATATTCCAGAAGAGACATGATCTGGATATGAAATTTGGACGGATATGTGGACTAACTGAACCCGTTTCTATATCCTGCCCCCCAACTTTATGAGTGGGGATAATAATTAAGAACAAACACATTTATCATTGAAAGTAAGGTGCAATGATGAACATTTTTTGGGCCTTAACCAGTATACTGTAGTAGCACTCAAGCACCTGGGGTAACCTTGATGGAGAGCTTTGGGCACACCATAGCATAACACATATACTTGTAGTGAAAGAATGCATGCTGAGGCAGGTTATGTTGTTCTTAACTTCAGCTACCACATAGCATAGTGAGTAATAGATTTAGGCATTAGATTTAGAAAGAAAAAATTATACATGTGAGTTTATCAAGATAGATATATATATACACACAGTGGTCCCTCGGTTAACGAGATTTCGGTTAAAGAGTTACCTTCCATAAGATTCTTAACTTCGGTTAACGAGCAATCCCTCGATTAACGAGTTTCTTACGAGCCGACCTCAACATGTTTTCGCTTGCATTTGGCGGTCCACCAGCTGTAGTATTAGTTCACCAATACAGAAATTGGTTCTAGGGCTTATATTCCTTACCATTTTAGTAAATATCAAGAAGTTTATACTATTCAATAATTTTAAAAGTTTAATATTAAATTTTTTAGTCATTTTTAACAATTATTAAACAAAATTGAAGGAAAGGAAACTAGTTTTATGCACGCCATCCAGCCTGTCAACACACCAAACAGGCATCAGTCTTTGTGTCTTTTCAGTGGAGGTAACATCTTGCTTGAGACTCTCTTCAACTAAACGCTTTTTTCTGTTTGCAAGCAAATTATTGGTCATTTTCAAATTTATTTTATATATTGACAATATATAATGCAGTGCAGTGTTGATTTAAAGAAAATAATCTTGAATTACACCAAGAGAACTAAAATTTTATGGGTGAAATGGTGCCATGGGGTGACTTCTCTTCCACCCCAATGCCTTCTCTTCTCCCTTCTCCTCCACCCCCATTCTAATTCCCATCATCATCATCCAGGAGCCTTCTACATACACACCTCAAAGTAAGTGTACTTTTCTACCTTTTTTTGTTGAATTTAGGCAATTTTCGGTGAGCTGGAACCAATTACCCAATAACCCATTGAAACAATGGTTTCGGTTAATGAGTTTTTCGGTTAACGAGCAACCTTCCAGAACGGATTGTGCTCGTTAACCGAGGGACCACTGTATATATATTCATACTGGTATATCCTGAGAAGTCAAGTTAGTCTTGGTTATTAATAACTCTGAAAAATTGCTTCTCTATTTTTCATAAAGAAGATATAACTTACTACCAAACTATACTTATTTTGCCATGTCATTACAATCAATCTTCAGTGTGACAAATTTTCTTGAACATTTCTGCTGAAAAGAAAATGTACAAAGCCAGACAAATTGTCACTAAGTATATTCTGGTAATTTTTTTTTTTTGCCTTTGATGACAATACAAAAATGGTATACTAGATACATAATCCATATTCCTTTATATTAATGTTAAGAGCAGTTGACTAGGTGAAAAATCTTAAACGAGCACAAGGATTCTTCTTGGTCAAATCTTAAGGGGCCTTAGTAATGTAAATTAGAGCTGACAAACTGAAAACTAACACCAATACCTTTCCTGCATAATGAATTCCTAGTGTTAAGACTGCTGAACTGATGATGAGAGTGGCAACACATGTCACCAATTCTTCTGGGGATCAAGTAAGCTGAACATGTACTTTTTAAGAAAGTTAAATGCAAAGACAAGTTTTTTTTTAAAGAAATATTAAAGGCTTTGAAATTTTAAATGAGTTATACAGAAGGAAAACAAGAAAGAATTCACTAACTACACAGCCCAGTTTGGTAATATTGTACAGGTATCAAAGGGTTTAGCTTTATCAGTCAAATCTTTTGAAGACAAAAGCTTTTCTCAACTCCAAGGTATTGGCTGAATGCTTAGATAGGAGACTCAAAGAGGATCTAAAGAGACTTGTGTGTTTTTTTTATACTATAAATCATTAAACAGAACAAACTATATGACTATGATATGATAATGGGCATACCGTATATATATTTAAAGCTTAACTAGGATCAAGTTCATTTTTATAGTATATAGTCTGATAAAAAAATAAATATAATCAGGAACAATTCTAACCTGCCAAGACATCAGTTCAATGACAAAATTAGCCAAGTAGTAAATTCCAAAAGAAAACTTTTTAACTCACTAAGAAAACTTTCTCCCCGACACAACATTTGGCAAATTCTTGTTCAACCTTGCCAGTTATTTTTGCACAGATCATGCAAAAACATAAATGCAGGCATATGGAGTTAATTATATAAAAAAAATATTTGCTCAATAAAACCTTTAAATCAACAAGACAAAAAAAATCCTTATTTCATTTCACTTGATACACTTTAAAATCTTAAGAAAGTTAAAAATTACTAAAACTTGCCAATTTCCAAGACCAATTAAACAAACAACTCAAAACAAGAAAGAATACAATACTAAACTGAAAATAGTAAGATGTGGAATCACTAAGAATTTCATTAAGCAGCTTTGTCCATTCTGTAAAAACTAAATTTGATATTAACATTCATAAATACTATGAAAAGCCTCTGTTACTATCACCTTCAAGTCCAGCTGAAATACTGTAGTAAACAGTTCAAATTCACAAAATAATAGTTTACAAAAAATATATAAAAGCAGTGAAAATTAACAAATGTTCATGATAGATGGCATTACCTTGAAACACTCTCCCACATTAACAAATCCAAGACACTGCTACAGAATATACATTCATTATCCAAACTAATAATAATAATCCCTTTATATTCATCCATTCAACTTGTTTATAACTTGTCACTGGATATTTATCCACAAAATATCTTTTACACTTATGAAGGCCATGAAGAGGTGATGATTTTTTTGCCACAATTATCTATACACAACCAATTATCACTATGGATGGACACTACTTTGTTTCTTATTGTAGTTAAATTATCAATTGCAAACATGTACTAATAAAAATTACATATGAATCTGTACATAGAGAATTGCACAACAGTGTCTTAACTTGTTATATGATAACAGATTAATGACCAGGGGCAATACTTGAGAAGCTCAGTCAATATAAGCAACACTACACTATGGACCAAATTGCAGTTTCAAACCATTTTCTTCAATCAAGTATAAAAATCTTCATTTACATCAAACCCCATTTACTTCAGGCCTGGATTATTAATCAGCATTGTTTGCCACTCCTTTTTATTCAATGATGCAGGTTTCAAGAAGTTTGATTTTGCACTGTCCAGTTTACACACACTGTCTGGAAATCCTCCCAGAATCAATTCACTTTAAAAGTTTATCTGTGAACTTAGGACCTCTGTTTCAGCTGTATTGTTGTGACTAGTGTCTGAATCCTCAAGAGCTGTGGAGGCAGTAACATTAAATTCATCTTCAAATTTTGCATAAGCACCTCGCTTTCCAGAATCCACTGAAACATCGAAGTTGTTGACCTTAAGCCTTGCATATTCATCATCACTGGCAGCAGGATTGAGATTACTCACTTTTGGCACTCCATCTTCACTAGTACTTTGAGCTAGACAAGGGTAATCATCGTTATCATCTAAATTGGCTTCAGGCCGGGAAATATTCAACTCATTAGATGATGATGATGACGAAGAATGTGTAGAACGTTGCTTCTTGGTTGTTCCAGTTGAAGGTCTGCTGGTGGTGGGTGCCTCCTTAGACAACTGATCAGCCGAACGGCGTAGCTGAGATGCCATAGTGTAGTAGTGCGGCTTCACTTCGCCCACTGGACGTGAATAAGTCAGGTGGTCGTACTCACCATCTGCCAAAAGTTAGCTCTGTCAATTATTCCTTATTTATAATATAAAAAGTATCTTATGAACAAACCTCACTTGACAAAAAATAATTCACATTACTATTTTGACAAAACTTGTCACAAGAAAAGTGCTTTAAAAACCCAGCATTAGGAAAACATGGTTAATAGAATGGAAGATCATCTCTTTGTTGGCATATAGTGTCCTTCATAAAAAAATTGAAATATAACCATGCAAACTGAAGGTATTTCGTACAATGCACTGAATAAAATGATACTGTATATACTTCAATGACTACTTGCCATTTTATAAATCTTGAAAGATTTAATCCTAAAAGTTTTTTCAGTACAATGCTTAAAATTATATATTTAATTCAGGCATTGCACTGGAGCCCCACTTATAGTACAAACATAAAATGATTTGCAAATCCAGCAAAGATGCTCCTGTAGTTACATACTGAGAGAGAGAGAGAGAGAGAGAGAAATCTTGATCTCAAACAATCCAGAGTGGAAATAAAATAAGATGAGAAACTGATGAATATTGTAAAATAATAATAAAGAAAACTTGATCAGTAATAAAATTACCACTAAATATTAAGGCAGTACTGCAGGTTCAAAAGAGGATTCAAGATGCAGAGGTTATGGCTTATGTACTGTATATAGATCATTTAGCAAATGTGAAAAACTACACGGTTTCTCGGTGATGCAATTAACACTATGTTTAGATACTGACCAAGGCCAAATTTGTACATATAGGTACTGTACTTCCTTTTATCATATAACTTTTTTTTTATTCCTGGAACAACATGAACTGGCCCAGAAATTGTTTGATGGGGAATTTGGCTGTGGTTAGTTCAAAATGAAAACTCTGCAGTGTTTTTTGGTATAGACTGTACTGTTAAGCACTTTGAAATACTGCACTTACATCTACCAGATAATAAGTTATCTTAAAGGGTGATGTGGGTGTCTGTATATACAGCACTGTACTATACATACAGCATAAGTAGTTTATTCACAGTGATGTGAAAAACAAACAATATGAATATTAAAATGTAAACCATGCTGAAAATTTGATAAAAGTAATAAAAAACATCCTAATAATGGTTTAAGAGAAGAGGGAGGAATAAAAATCAAGTACATTGAATATATATAACGGAAAAGCTGCAATATACAAGTACTTCAATATTAGCCATACTGACATTAGTAAAGTGTAATATTGATTCTGGCATTTCAGGGAAATAAGCACAAACAACTCTGGACAACTCTTAACCATGGTAACAGGTTTTAGGAACATCGCATATAATAGGAAATTTGAAAGAGCTGATTTGGTTTGCCAGTTTCTTGATTAGGTAAAGATTTTCTACTAAAGCTAGCCCATACATGCTTGAATGGGAGAAAACATACTAAATTATATATGAATTTATAAATACACAGTATAAAATTTTTTTAGTTACTCTAAAGCACATTTACACAACTCCAAGGAAACACTCTAAGCCAACACAAACACTGATATACTGTATGGACGAGAAAGAATTACCCTCTAACAGGAACGGAGCATCACACAAGTCTTGCTACACCCTGACGCAAATTAATATGCGCCAAACTTACACGAACCACTCCTTCTGAATATTGTGAACACTGGTGGAGGGGCAGCAGAGGGCAGTACAAAGGGAGAGAGAGAGGGGAAAAGTAAGCTCACACAATTCAAACATTTTAACGACATGTAATAATCATTGTAGCTCACCAAATTCTTTAACGTAAATACATCATCATCTAAGAATCACAATTTATCAGTATGCAGTGTTAGAGTATCAGGCATACAGACAGCCCAACCATTAGCAACACCAAATGCTAAACCCAGTAAAAAAAGAAAAAAGAAAGAGGCCCGAGTCCATTATCAAGCAAATCACTTCACTGGCACTGGTGCTTTGAATTACTAACTAATGGGTCATATCCGTTGTGGATTAACAACTCTTAAAAATGATGACGACAATTAAGAGAGCTATCATCTTGGTGCAAGGGCAAAATACAATAATTTTCATATTATGTATTAAAATTACAGTAGTAAACTTAATATCTATCTTCTAAGTCATATATAAAGGATCTAAAGCCAAGGAACCAGAGAAAAAATGAATAGATCTATTTAGTTGACAAATACTGTGCAGTTGACCCTCGTTAATTCGGACTAATAGGGGGGGAAGGGTGTCCGTTTTAGCCGATTGTCTGAATTAACTGATTCAGGGGTTAATATTGCATTATATTTCAAAGTCATTGTTTTCGTCACGATTTTATCCCACTTTCCACTGTAATATATACGTAATTTCAGCAAAAATATTACATTTCCGTGAATGTATTATATCAAGCACAGTATGAATAGAATATCATTGTAATATAACAGTATCTTGACCGAAAACTATTAAAAAAACAAATAACATCTCAAGAACATCAGAAGCTTAGGTAAAATCTTTTGTTTTCTTCATGTATTTTATCCTATTTTACATTAAAATACATCACGTTTCAGCCAAACTACTATTTATTTCCGAGAACATATTCATTCAGGCACAGTTAAGGTAAAATATACATGTGATGTAACAGTTTTTTAACTGAAAACGATTCGAAAAACACGTGTACCGTCTAGCTGATACTCAACAGCTGGTGGTGCGTCATGCGTCGTTGTAAACAATAGGAGGTTGAAGTAGATTACCGGGTATTATATTAAGTGTGAAATATCGAAAAGGTTTTTATTACCGGTATTTTTTGTAGATCAATGAGAACTGTGATACATTATATGATATGATAAGTTAGCCTGTGCTAAGAATTTCAACATAGACTACTGAAAACACGTTGTAAGGTAATTTAGCCTATTGTAAGTTGGTGAGCTTCATTTGCTGAAGGAACTGCACAACTTTTCATTACTAATTGGTACATATTTTACGTTTCCATTGTTTACTGGCAGTAAATGGTAAATATTTTTCATGTCTGAAGCTAAAAGTTGCATCCCCTCCCCACACTAGTGGTGGAGATGTTACATTTAACCAAAAAGACGCTGGTGTTTTATCCCAGCAGTGGGTGGACCAGCATTTTAGCTTTAGGTCCGCGTAGGTAATATTCCTACAAAAAAAAAAAAAAAAAGTTCGTTCAGATTTTGTCCGAATTATCCGAAATCCGGATTAAAGGGGTCCGAATTAACGAGGGTCGACTATAATAACAACAGCTTGGAAGGGTTTACAGTTGTGTGAATATGAAGTATGTAAATCAAAAGCCCCAATACAGATAAATCATCAACACACTTCCAATACCCACTGCCGTGCTATTTAGCCGAGTACAGACGGAGGCTACAAATAAAACTGAAGCACAAAAATACAGACACAGTCAAACCGAAAGCGAGGACCACAGAAACATGGGATGGGTTGAGATCAGATAGTGACCTTCAATTCAGAGGTAATGAACTAGATATACAAACTACACCATTATTCATCCACAAAATAGTGACAATATGGAAACTGAAGATAGAATCTCCAGTATT